TAAATATCGGCATAAATTTATCCGTTCGGAAATGAATTTTAAATTTCGTACCAAAGTAAATTTTTACTTAGTAATTTGTCCAAACTACTGAATAAAAAATATAAAATAACCTGTCGGTGAAATAACCATGTCGGTAAAATGATAGTCGGTAATCCAAAGTGTCGGTAAGTTGAATATGCGACCCTCATAATTTTTATCAGCTAATTCTTTCATAACTTTCTGATAATCCGGATTTAGTAATATGAAATATTGGTTGCAATAATCTATTCGAAACTATTTTTAATTTCTTTAACAAAATCTCTTTTTCTTGGTCAACACATGATCAACTTCGGAATCATCTGAATCACTTTCTTTCACATGGATTATCCGAGTCTTCATTTGCAGGTAAAACATGTCAAGCTTTAAGAAGGTATGAATAATAAGTTCTTGTAAATGATAAATATCTGATGTTACTATCCTCTATTTTAGGGAAGTTAACTCTGGAGGAATGGAAGATATATTGTAAAGGTGAGTACCAGAAGGAGACTTTATAACAATGATTTTTCCTTGCTTTAGCCAGCGACGAAAAAAAATAAATAAAAGTAATGATTTTTTTTTTTTGTTTAATATTTTTTTCTGATTTCTTTTTTCCTTTTTTTTACTTTTCCTTTTATATTTTGTTTTCGTTCTATTTGTGAACATTTTGAAGCCTTCAAAAAGTTTTGAAGTTTATGGTTCGAAAGCTATCGTGGCTACAATCACAAAGACTGAAAGTTCTCCTTTCGATTTCATTAACCACACATTTCTTTATTATAGTACCTATACGAGCAACAATTTTGTCGTTCCAGTTTCATTTATCGAAAACAACTATGAACTAGCAAAGAAAAGAAAGGTTTACAGTTTACGATTTTGAATCTTTTTTATGGGCCTTTTCAAATTGACTTTTTTGACTTTTTCAAAATAATATACCGTTTGAATAGACTCTACATTGAACATTACTAAGCAGATGTTACGTTTGTAAAATTACTAAGTAAAAATTTACTTTGGTACGAAATTTAAAATTCATTTCCGAACGGATAAATTTATGCCGATATTTACATCATTACTTTTTAATATAATATCACCCTCTTTTAAACACTTTAAGAATTACTCGATTAAATATTCAAAAAAAAAAAAAAAAGATTTCCTTTTCCAAACATGTCTCTTCATTAGATTTTTAATTCATGATTACCTCTCATTGATTGGTATCATCCTAGCGATTTACATGGCACAGTATTATTACTCGAGTTCTGGACCTACCTCAATTCATCGCGGAAATTTAAAATCATTTTTCGAAAATTATCAAAAGAACATGGTGAAATTTTCGAATTTTACTTGGGACCTCGACATATAGTTCTTAGTGGACCGGTTTATCGACTAAATAACATGGTTTACCGTAAAAAAAATTATCATGCATACACTTTGTTTCGTAAATTAAATTTTTTTGAAAATTATTCGCGCCACTTGATAAATAAATGATATCATTATTATTTAAGTTCCATAAACAAATAAAAAAAGATTAGTTTGACAAAAAAATAAGTTTCATTGTCAAATAAACTTTCACTTGTCAAAATGTTGATAATTCAACATAACCTTTTTAATTGGTCAGAAAGTGATGAAAGAATGATTAGCAAAAAATTTGGAGAAAGGATCTTAATGGGGTTACTCTGAGAGAGAATGGAATAATGTTGTTGATAAAACTATGTTAAATTCTCAAACTAAATTTGATGAAACGTCAAATAAACTTGTCAAGATTTTAAGAAATACTGGAAGTTTTTTAAATGAACTCGCCGGTAACGAAGGAGTTTGAAGTAATTGATAAAATTGAACAGTTATCATTCGGAATTTCAAATCTTTTGTTCTCCTTAAAATTTCTTGAATCAAAGTTTCATCATCACGCATGCTATGTAGCAAGTGAATCAATAAAAAATCAACATTGTAATTACGCTTCTTTTTGATGACTTCATTATCTTTTGGTGGATCCGAATTTGGCCTCGAGTTATTTTCAAGTCCTCTTTCAAAGACTTGGGTAGTTTTGCGATGAATTACCATGAATTTAGCTAGGGAATTATAAACTTTATCTCGAACATCTTTGCCAAAAATTATCTTTGAAAACATATCTGTTCTAAAACTGCTACCCAAGTTCGTAAATGTAATTCCAACCTTGTCATACTCTCTTTGAATAATAACTAACAAATGGTTTAGGATCGGCCAACATCTCTAAAGAATTTATTGACTTGAGGTGAAAATTCATTTTTTACACTTTCAAAAAGTAATTTTAGAGCATATAAAATTTTGTTTCGGTTAATTCCTTTAAAAGTTCTTTTGCTTTTTCATCTGGCGTAAAAATCCATCCTTTTCTAATTCGAGAAGGATTTTATTGTTTAATACGGTTTCAAGCAAAGTCGTTTTAGGGGAGATATGGCTATTGAACGCAATACTTTTTCTCTTGTTAAAACTTCCACCCTATCATGATAAAATAAGGAAAATCGTTTAGACAATTTTTTTTTTTTCTTTTCAAATAGATATAAAAAATTGTAAAAATTGCATTTCACCTGGCTTAAAATTTTTTTTCATGTTTTTATATATGTAATATTTTTTTCTAGGGAAATGAAGGTATTGAATTTTATTGTAAAACACAATGGCGTAACACAACGTTCCAAAATGGTTCCATTCAAAGTTTCAAGTTTTCTTAATTCTTTAAAACAATGAAAAACGATAAGCCTTCAATACAATACACAAATCCTAATGCATCTCTCTGTTATTCATTTATCCGTGACGATATTTCAATCCTTTTTTTTAAAAAAATTTTCAAAAAGAGGAATATTTTAAATTATAGTGAAGATAAACGTTGTGATTCTTTTCCTTCCGCATATTTTGTTCCTTGTTTCAAAGGTTTAAGAGGCTCAGAAATCTCAATTCATCGGAACTTGGGTTTCTCAATGTGCCTTTCTCAATAGAAACGAGTCTACGATTCTGTTGGAAGATGATCATGATTTCATGGTATTAACGCTATATTTAAATTGCAACTGTTATCGATTTTTTCTAATAAAAATCAATCGTATGGTATTATCAATTAGAGGTTGAAACCGTTAACGAATATTTTACTAGTTAAAGATTTTAGGCTCCATTATCAAATCACTGGATCAAGAGTTCTTAAAGACCAACATAAAATTTTGGTTAAGAGACCTCGAATACAATTAATCACATTGCGCCATGCAAACAATTAAAAGCCGATGGAGAGAAAATAATAATTGGAATCGTCATGATAGAATTAATTTTTAAGTTTCCAAATTATAGAATAGTGGCGCAGTGTTCAAAAGTTACGCTTCGTTATCAATTTTCATACGTCTTTATATTCGATACATTTATTCCCCGACTTTTTCTTTTGAGTGATTGAAATCGTTTAACAAATTTGGTTAAACAATCCTTTTCTATTTGAAATTTTTACTGAGGGCTAGTGAGTAACCCTGAACAGTGATTTATGAGGTATTTCTGTCAATGGCGATGGCACTTTATCACGATAGGTTCGATTCTATTGGGTCGAGAAATTCGGTAATCGGTGTAAGGAATGGTGTTTTCAACAACGATTATAAAGATTACACAAATAATATTTTCGAGATGATGATAACGTGTAAAATCCTGAAATTTACACGTGCACTTTACAAAATTAAATACTAGGGGTGTTCGGATGCTTTTTTTGGTGCACTCAAAATTAGTTTTTTTAATTGAACATGCCTAGCAAATGCGTCATCGAAACACATGATTTTGTATATGTCATCCGATAAAATATAGTCTTTTTTTTTTTGTTTTTCTGCATCAATTTTACCCCTTGATCCTTTAAGATGTTTTCACGAGGGCAAAGAGGAGGCGGTTATAGAAAACGAGGCAGTACTAGGCAAATTGAAACATATCGATCTTGGAACGTTGAAACTCTTGGGATACCCACTCCCAACGTAGATGATTCGACCCAATATCGTCCTTGGAATGCTGCTGCGCTTTCTCTTGAAAGTGAATCATCAATGGATATCGACGAGGAACCATCTAATGATACCCAGCGTCCTACTTTAATTGAATTAGACTCTTCGGTAAGTAGCATGACATTTTTTCTAAAGCCTTCATCTTTTAAAATTTCCGATCTTACTTGGTTAACAGGTTATAGGATTTTCTTTATTAAACTTTATTTCGCTATAAAATTATTCGAAAAAATTACAATTATAGTAAATATAATTCTTGGTTAATTGAGTAAAGTTTTATATTTTAGCCTGTAAAATTACCAAAACTCGCGAACAAAGATAATCATCAAGGTTCTCAAAATCAGATCACTACACAATCTAACGCGATGGAAGAATTGAAACAGCTTAATTGGGAAGATTATTATAAGCAAATGATGCAAGAGGAGGCCAAGCGTTCAATCGAAATTCGACGTCAAAAGCAAAATGTAAATACTGTCAGAAAAATTTCTTGGCAATCCGTTTAACAGTATTCATAACGACTCAATTATAATTAATCATCATTGTAGGAGAATCTTTTTGATAAATCGATATTGGATGAATTTGACTCTGTGATCTGCTCAATATATTTTTTTTAACGAAATAAATTGTCATTACACATGACACATGTCACTATTACATATTTAGTCATTGTGTAATTTGTGTCACGTGTTAGCCTTTTTAAAATTTTTGATCCAATTTTTTTATTTTTAAAAAAAACATTTTTTTAGTCGATTTCCTATTTATTAAATTAAAAAAAAAAAAATAAAATAAAATATGTCACGAATGAGAAATAATATTCGATTCAGAGATAATGTTGAATCCGAAGAAGACCTTTTAAAGCTTCAAGAAGACTTTTTAGTAAATAAACCAAAAGTTGCTGCAACTTTGATCAGACAAAGTAAACCACCTACTGTCATATCATCCTCTTCATTTAATCATTTAGAGAAAAATGTTGATGTTGGAGAAACCCAAAAGGATATTGTTACTTTGGATGATCAATTAACAAAATCATCCCATGAAAAAACATTAGCATCATCAAGGTCTGTCAAAGTAGAAACGAAAGGCAAAAAAAAGAAATCGCTCTTTTCTACAAAACGTCAAAAGTCGCATGAAAATGGTGGTGATAAGGCTCAAAGATTTAATATTGATTTAGATCAGGAATTGGAAGGTACCTCTGATCAAGCTGAGGAGCATGTGCCCGCAATAAAAAAAGTTTTAGATATGCATTCTTATCAAACAGGAATCGTGGGAGCTGTGACCGAGAAATCTGTTAACGAACTTGTATTACCACCCAATGTTCCCCATAATGATAGTAAATTAACGAATGGCGGATTTCCAAAGCCTGTTCATCGAAGTTTATTTATGCGAAGAAAACAAGCTCTGAGTGATGAGTCAAGAACAAATCTAGAGAATATACAAAACCAACAAAATAATGATAATGATAATGATAATGGAACAAAAGATAGTAAAATTACTTGTACAGAATCAACCGTTTCACCATCGTTATTAAATACTTTGAATAAAGATACTGGGTTATTTAATTCGGATTATTTGGAAATTGACCGTGAAAATACTCAAAAAATTTCTAATATGTCTGAAGAAGAAATAATACAAACTATTGAAATGTTGCGTCAAACTTTAAGTCCTAAACTGGTTGAAAAGCTTTCAAAGAGTAAACCTTTGATTGAAAAGATATCCGGGGAGTCTCATGAGGAGTCAAAGAAAAATGATATTAGGAGTGTTCATTTTGAAGAAACAATGGAAAGTAAGGAGACGCTACCTGTGAACTTTGTCGATGATGAAAATGATGATTCTTCGCCACGTAAAATGAAAGAAAAATATTTCCCCAATGTGTCAATCGAACCTGAAAAAATTGAATGGATGCTCGAAAAGGATAATCCATTAAAGAACAAAGGTCAAATTGTTAGAGATTCTGTTAGCCCATATGTTCCTAAATCATCAGATCCACCTGCCGCATTTTATAGATTCGATTTTCATGGTAATATCTTAGAGAAGGATGCAGATATCCCTACATATATGGGTCTTCATCATCACGGTGATGATCCTGATCAAGCTGGGTATACATTGGGGGAATTATTTCATTTGTCAAGAAGTAGAGTTCCAAGTCAAAGGATTATTCCTTTAAACGTTATTGGTAGAATTATGAGAAAAGTTAGGAAAGGACATTATGGAATTGAGAAAGATAAAGGAATCGCCGAATGGATGATTAAGATGAAATTGCCTATATATTTGAGAACCGCTTTAGATGACACAGCAGAATCAGTTATCGTGGCCGCTGTTGATGCAATATCTGCTTTGATCATCGGTGGGTCAGATGGTTTAGATGGTGAAGAAGAAAATTGGGATCGTTTTGGAGGGCTATATCGAGGATATGAGGCCGTCGCTCTTTGGGATGATTCTGGAATCAAGGTTAAAAGACATTTTGGAATGGATATCGCTTTACAAAGTGAGAACGAAGAGGACATGGATACGACTGATTATCACGTTGGGCTTGCGTCAAGAGATTTAATTGCGGGCTTAATTTCAATGGATGTCTTGTATCGATTTCGATATATTTTGGAGAAATTAAGATTGCCATACAATACAAACGAACAAATCATTTTGATGCTTGTTCGCTTTGCACGCCATTCTCGTAAAAGTGCAAGGTCCGTATTCGAATGTCCTCAGCTTGTCGAAGTCATACATAAAAGATTTTTATGTATAACTTGGCCCGTTGTATATAAAAACAATGAAGTTGCACATTCGACACAATTTCCAAGTTTACCAGCCGTAAAACTTTTTCGTTTGTTGTGCCAGTCGTCTGAAAAGATCAGCAAAAGCATCATCAAGGATTATATGGAGACATTTTTAAGATACATTGTAGTAAATCCTTCAACGATATCGAATGAATTTGAGATGAACCTTGGTTACAAGAACTTGCAAGAAACTTTGAGAATTTATCAAACTCTTGCAGCATATGGGCTTTATCATGGAATTCACTCTCAAGCATATTCGGTATTTTGTGGATATTTGTCCAAGGAAATAATATTTTCCCTTCCTCCTTCATGGCAATGGAAAGGTGATAACATTTACCAAATGAGAAATAAGCTTGATATAGCAATATCATTTTTCAGACTTATAGAAATTTGGATTCGTGTTCCTAGAAAAGACACTGATATAGATGATGAATCGGGGGCTCAGCCGAGCGAATTTGTTAACGACTCGGTTGAACTCTTGGATAAATGGGTTAACTCCTTTCCATATGAAAGGTGCGATAAGGTTGAAAATTCTGAAGAATTTGAAAAGGCTTTAGTTTTGATTTCAAGTATTGCAAGATATATTTCATCTTGGTATCAATATTTAAGTGGTTATCCTCTAAAGGCTACCAATCAAATAAAGAGCATTTGGGAAAGGTTCCAACTGGGTTCATGGCAATCTTCAAAAATTTGTCAATACCTGTCGAATCGTCTGCCGGTCTGTTTGGACGCTTATTATCTTTACAAGAATGATGGTTGGCAATTGCCTAATTTACCTGGTGCTTATTATCCTGGCACATTCGAAAGAGTTTCAAAGTCTGTGACGATATCAATATTATATGATTTATACTCATCTTACATATCATTGATCTATCGAATCAGCAATTTATTTTCGAACGACAAGGAAATTTCTACAACTTCATTGGACGTGATTACTGCATTTGCTCCTATAGATCTCGTGCAAAAGCATATCATTAAGGTTCCACCTAGAGGAAATTGGGATGATTTCTTTATTAGGACGCGTACTTATTTATTATATGAGTGGTGGTGTGCCATCAACACGCTTATAGACAATGACGAATTTAGATCAAAATATTCAAAGAAATTATTGCAGACAGCATTAATATTAATGCCCAATTTATTACCCGGAGACGAAAAGATTAGTTTAGATCTCCTTAATAAAATATTTGATGGAATAGCTGTTTTATCATCAGATTCTAAAAGAGCCAAACAAATCAAAAATTCGCTTAGGTCATTTTATAAGAATCACATTACTTCAAGGAATGACAAAGAGGAAATCTATTCATTTTCAGGGCAACAAGAAGAGGAACTTGGTTTATTGTGGGATTTGACAAAACATAATCGTCATGGAGGATTACCGTTTTCAAGAGCATGGTTATGGATTCCAATCGATATCTTATATAGCAAGAGATCGGATGTTATAATGGATGAAGAAGTAAGGAATGAAGTTGTAAGGGATTGCTTAGTATTTGCATGGGAAATTATGCAAATGTGTCAAGATATCACGGACCCAAATACGAGATATGTGATGAATCCTGCAATCGTCGTATTGTCAATTATGAAGATTTTCTTATTAGAAGGTGAATTATATAGGGATTCTAATATTGGCGGGTGGATTGATGAAATTCTCTCTCGATACACCTTTGGATTTAGATCGAAAGGGGGGCGAACTCCTGGAGATCACGAAATCTTTAATTCAACCGAAGTTGATTACTCACTTGAAGGTGCGGCTAGAGATGTCTTAACAAAACCATTTTATACATTTTTCACGGATTTTTCAGCTGCATATGCAGCCGAATCATTTGGGCACAAATCATTTGCACAATGTGTAATCGTGCCATTATCAACCATTTATCCTTTGGATTTCAAATTACTCGTGTGGAGTGATCTATTTGAAACTTTAGGTACAATTAACGTCGAATATGAAGAAGTATTGTGTTTGAATTCTTCATTTAATGAAGGATTGAAGAGTTATTTTTGGCCTTTGGAAGATAATAAAGCATTGCTACAAACTTTTGTAAATACTATTATACATAATAAGCTTACACGTGAAAGAACTTCGTTCTTATATTGGGTTGTTATACATCACTTGAATGGATTTGTATTTTGGACGACGAATGTAAAACAGGTAAACAGGCAACAAGGGAATCAAGGGGAAAGTAAGACAATTGATAAAGTTCAAATGAGAATTGATATCGCAAAGGCGATTGTTAAAGGAGCAAGGTCTGATGCGATAAAAGATTGGGTAAATTACACCGGAAAGAATTTTGGAGAGGATGTAAAAGAATTAGTGAGGGTTCCTCAATGTTTTGAAGAAATAGATTCGAAATTACAAGATAGATTAGATTGGTTGAAAAGCGTAAATATTGATATCGAAGAAAAATTAATTTAAATTTTAGATATTATTAGAACCTCCAAATAAAATTGTAAAATAACGTTAAAATTGAGTCACGAGACAAGTAAATCATATGATCCGTAACGTGATTACCAAATTTTCCGTATATATTATCGTTATCGTAAACGATTTTTTTATTCTTAAAAGTATATTTTATATTAAAAAAAAAAAGAATAATAAATATATATTAAATAATAATATAAATATGAAGAGAAGGGGTGAGAAAATATAGTAGTAAAAATAGGAAGGCGGAAAGATTGATCATGCATTTTTAAGGGTGGGGAGATTTTTAAGGACAAAGTGGATTGAATTATTAATTCCTTTTCCCTATTATAAAATAATATCGTTTCCCAAAATGATTGAGTTTTTAATAATTTATCCAAATATAATCCTAAGAATCAAATACCAAACGCAACCGAATGTTCTAAACGCCGATAAAGCAGCAACAGACCAGAAAACTTTTTTTTTTTTTTTTTTGAAAAAGAAAAACGCAAAAAAATCAATTAGTTTATATATAAAATAAAAGATTAAATAAAATGATTCCGTGGGGATAGGTTAACTTACCAAACGTTAAATAAGGATTATAAGCACGAGTCCCAGAATAATGCTTGACGTAATCATTCCAAGTGCTTGAAGTGAAGAAAACGATCAAAAGACCATTTGAAAACATCCAAGCCAATACCAAATTAGTTCTAAACAATTTATAATAGTCATCTTTCTTGGTGGCAGCATCTCTATGCTGTTTAGTTTCATATACTTTTAATTTTAATTGATCGACCAAATCATCGTAAATAGCATTGATATCAGTTCTTTCTGTTGGAACTTGAACTTGCATTAATTTTTTACCATCCGTACCAGCGACGGGTTGGGCACCGTTACCTTCACCAGTATTGCCATTATCACCTTTTGTACCCCAAGAGACATCATGTGTATTACAAAATGCATAAACCATCAAAATGTTAACATAAAATGGTACCATTAAAATATATTGTAGTAAACAAGTTATCATATGCCATGGTTCCCCGTGAATTACACTTGAAAAGATATAAAGTCCATAAGTTGAGGATAATGAAATGACTATATCACGAAATTCATCTTCTTTAAGCGCATTTCTCAAACTGGAGAATGAATTGAATTTAATATTAGCATCCATTAATGACAAATATACGGCATAACCTGCACAATATAACATCGTAGCCATAATCAAGGCGAATAATATAATACATCCTATATATATCCATTTGGAACCTTGAGGACGGTTTCCCATTGAACTAATGAAGATGGTGACAATCACCATACCATATAATGACCTAACCACATTAAATAAGTTCTCCCCATATCCTCTAAAAGGATCCGTAGCTGTGTTAATCGTTACGGCTGAAGTCAAGAAAAAGAATGCCAAATAGAAATTTCCTAAAGCGAACCAATTAAATAACAATTGAATGGCATTATAAAAAAATTCAACCGAAAGTAGCAATTTACGAAAGAATGATTGTCCCGAACTCCAAATACGCGTAAAGTGTGCGATTGAATAAAATGCGGCAAAGAAAGATCCATTCAACCATCGACGACGTTGTGAGATAAATTCTGGTACATTATCGGGTACATCGGTTTCAGCCTTCGCGGACTTTACATATTTTAATTTCCATGATTCATGTTTTTTCGCTACCAATTCAAAACATAAAATACGATCCTCCGCCAAGTACATATTTGCTTCAAATATACCGGCATCCCCACTACCGTGCATCGTTTCCCCTTTAAAATATGATGCTAAAGGTCCTTTACCGGATGACGTATTTTGCAACGCTCTATAACGATAGGCTGAAAAGGCTCCCGGTAATACGGAAATATATCCAAACACCGATTCCAACGGTTTGTCCAAGATATTTGACATTTTATACTCAAAATTTTGTGACGCCACTAATGGATTAACTAAATTTATGCATCCACGTCCAAGTTCCGTTTGAATTTCTCCACAAGCTCCTCCAATCTGAGGATCCATATCAAACGCTTTCCATAAATGATAAATTGACGTACTCGAAGGTTTGGTTCCAACGTCCAATAAAATACACACATTTGGATTTAATTGCTCGGCAAACGCGTTAAAGAACCATCTATGACTGTTTAATTTTTTAGCGTTCTTCTCTTTTAAGCAAAATAATATTTGTACTGGTGGGATGCCCTTATCCGCTCCTCTTATATCAAAATTCGAGTCAACCATCAATTGTGACGTGTATTCAAATAAATGACCCGTAACCGGTTTTCCTGCCACATTATCTTGCATGATTCCATCTTGATAGACACCCATCGCTCCAAGTACCTTAAGAACTCTTTTATTCACTTTATTACGACCATCCGCTACCACGACCACCACAATCTTCTTCCATCCTTCTCTTCCCCACGTTTTTGATCGATCCCTAGTGCATAGATAAGCCACATTCTTAATGGCTGATGACATGGTTTTAATGAATAGTTGATCATCTTCATTGTACATTGTCATTACGATCATTAATTCGGTTTGTCTTTGATAAATATATGGCCTTAACAGGTAATTACTTTGAATAAAATTATCTGGATCACATGTTACCGCCGTGTACCTCATATGTGTAAATTCTTCCCCTGAGGTGATTCTAACATTTTTAATAACTTTGTCTGGTACCGGGCAATCCAATACCAAATTTCCTCTTGTCAATTCTACATGTCGAACGGACTACATTTATTTAAAAAGGAAACGAAACATAAAAAGTTAAAATTTGCTGCGGCAAATACACGTGACGTAATCTCCGTAAATGGATCCTTACCTTTCTTTTATCGACTTTTTCATAGAAATCTAAAACCTCATGACCTTTCCATTGGTTATTAGCATAACCGGTATTATTATTATCTAAAGGCGTATAGTAATCAACTGCTTGAGGGGAGTAACTTGATTGAGAAGCTGGTTGAGGAGTGTAATAATCATGTTGATATGTGGTGGGCGAAGCTTGACGTTGAAGTTGTTGACCCGCGACATGAGTATTATTAAATGTTTGTTTCGGTTGTGAAGGAATTCCTGGTCTTGGTGAGGTATAATCATACGTTTGTTGACGTTGTGAACGTTGAGAAGGATGAGAACGTTGAGGTGGATTATTATTATTTGATGTTGTTGTATAATAATTAGCATAGTTATTTTGATATCCTGCCATATTGTATTATATTTTATACATATATTAGGGGTTAATTGAAAAAGGTATATTTACTACTAGTATTACAATGATTACAATTAATAAGATTTTTTGTTTTATCTACAAATTATTAAAAGAATTAAAAAGAAAAAACCAAGAGTAATATCAAGGAAAAACAACCAGCGAGATTCCTTGTAAATTAAATAAATATGATTTATTCTGAAAATTATATCCAAATATAATTTCTATATAAATAATAATGAAAAGAAGGAGTAAATACTAATTATGGTAATATTGTAAATACTTGTAGTAAAGGAACGTTAATTAGTATGGAGAAAAAAGGAAGGGAAATGGAAGACGAATTTTAAGGAGAGGGAAAAGGGAAATTATTAAAAAAAAAAAATGAAAAAATGAAAGTGAGAGGACATAAGTAAAATAATTTTTGGTCTTTTTTCCTTTAATTCGGCCGACTATTTGTTGTGTTACAGCTTATTTCTTTTTCCATATATAATGTAATGTTACTTACTATATCCCTAAAATGTTAATAAATCATCTAAATTTCCAAAATTGGTTAATAGATTTATTCAAACAATTTTTACCGCTTATTTTATTATCAAGTGCTTTAAATTGGTTTCAAATTTATGTCACCTAAATTAAATTTGTCTTATGGTAAACATTTGTTAAAGAAGTTAGCGACATTCGAGATTTATTTATTTAAATATTTAATATGAATGTAAATAATTATTTCCTTTCGTTTAAGTACAAAAGCTAAATGTAAGCTTGCGTACGAATTATTTCGATTTTTTCTTGTATCACGAAATAAAACTGTTATTGAGTGTGACTACTTACTCAATTGGCATTTGAATTTTAAATTAAATGAAACGTTTACGAAAATTATAAATGTGTTTGTAGAATTAATAATCGTTAATAAATACGTTCTCATGACTCGTTTCATCTTTTTGTTTCAGTGTGTGAGTGATCTCATTTCTTATATTTATTGAAAAAATGGTTAATTGGTTCAAAGACTTCAAAAGAAATGGTTAATGCTAAAAAACCGCGCAATGGCAGCTTGGGTTTTGCATTTATCTTTGTGGAACAAAAGCACAAACCGTTTTTTAAATATTAACAACTTTATTATATGTTGTGGTTAATTAAATTTAATAGAAAAAACAACGTGCTAGGTAAATATTTTGTGAAAATTTATAATATAAAGAATGAATACTCTACGCATTTAATCTTTACCGTTTTTCTTTTCAAATTTGACGATCTCAAATTTATGTTGTTGCAGATTGGGACATCTCACATTGTTTTCAATTGGTAACCTTATTTATAATCGAATTAATATTTTATAACCAGCTATTTCATTTTGTTTTTTTAAAAAAATTCAAAAAGCTCTCGACCTTGTCAGCCATAAGAAGAATATCATTGAAGTGACTATTCAATTATCATCATATGATAGATTACAAATTAATACCGGTAAATTAAAATAAAACTCTCTTTAACAATCACTTGATCGACGATTTGACGGTCATTTGAAAAGATCGCCAATTTGTTAGTTTCCTTTGTTTCTTATAAAAAGGTTTAAATATTTCTGATTTTTATTACTTTGTGAGAAATAATTGTTCCTTAGATTTGATTGATATGTAAATATGTAAAAGTGAATTTATATATAAATAGTTTTTGTTTAAAAAAAAATTTAATAAACGATTCGTTGTTTATCGAAACAACCTATGGTTGTATTGTAATCCATGATTGAGACTTGCAAGGTTAATCCAATTATTTTCAATTCGATAATGCTGTTTTTTAAAAAAAATAAAGTACCCGGTATATCAAAATATCGGTATATAATGAATAATTTTATAATGATGATATACTTACTGTATGTTAAAATAATCCGGAGAAATAGAAAAATTGTAACCAGATCATCCAAATTTTTTAAGGGATCATTTCTTTATCGATTTAATTCTAATTCATTTTGTCTAATTTACTAAAGAAATTCAGTTAATCCATTAATTGCTTTTTAAAAATAGTAAAAATTCTCATGCATTCAAATGATTCTGTTTTGGGGATACTTATTCTTGTACCCCCCCGGTGTAGGTTTTTATCCAGACGCAAATTCTGTTCGCGATACAGGTGACAAACATTTTACAATGATCACGTGATTATCTCCGCTGCACTATCTTTCATAATTTTTCTAGTATTATTATCTTTATCCTGAGAAATCAAGTGCAATGCAGTTTTAGAACTTAAACATCTTGTCAAGAAGTCTATTGGCTTTTTAAAAGAAATCAGATCATGTTAATAAAATTATTAAATAAAAAAAGTTTTGATAATAATAACTAAAGACAATATAAATAATATAAATCAAATTAATAAATTATCAAATCAATTCATTATTACTATTGGGATTAATGCTTTTCTTAATCCTATTTTTTTTTAAATATTTCCAAAGAAAAATCTTAGTAATAACATTAATTTTTTATCAATAATGTTAAGAAGTTCATCTTTAATTTAAATGATTTGAATTATCTAATAATTCAAATTTAATTTTATAGGATAGGCTTTTTAAACACTACCAGAAATAATTGTTATATCTTTATTAATTATAATAATTTTACTTAAAAAAAATAAAATAAAATAAGAAAGAGATAACAAATTTATTTTTATTAATTATTAAATTAAAAAATTTTACTACTATAATTGTATAATTAATAACATTTAAAAAATAATATAATAAGAATTATATTTTTAAGCTAAACTTTGAAAATTATTTATATTCAAATTTTTAATTCATCAGTTTGAAATATATTGGTTAATATAATATTAATGCAGATTTTTAAAAAGTTAATAATATAAATCTATATATCAAACTTTAGATGCTGTTAAATTTTTCTCATACTTTTTATTTATTTATTAATTAATTAAATAAAAAAAATTTTCTTTTGACTTTATTATTATTAATTTTAATTAAATTATTTTAAGTTTATTATTTTGAAATATGAAAAAAGTTATTGATTTATTAAGCAAAATATAAAAATTTTACTGTTTTAAATTTGGTTTTTATTATTTATTAAGTTTTATAAATCTAATTTAAGAAATATTAATAGTATTATTTTTCAATATCATTAGCATTTTTATTTTGCTGATTTATTCTTGAATTTCTATAAAATAATTTATATATTTAATTAACTTATTATAATTTTATTTAGATTCTTTTATTATTTAATAAGAATAAAATAATGAATTAAATTTAGTTAAATAATAACTTTAAAATATATTAATATATAATACCAAAAAATTGTATAATAATATAAATATAAAAAATATCATATTATAATTAAAATAATTTTATCAGTTATAATTATTATTAATAAATATAATTATATTTAATTATATTATTATATTACATATATAATTTAAAAAAATCTATTTTATATTAAAGTATATATTAAATTTAGAAAATAAAAACTATTATTAAATTTGAAATGATCTATTAATATTTACTTTTATCTATACTTTTTATAATTGTAAAGGTTAATTAGTATTAATTTAATTATTAAGCAGGTAGATAAACAGACATATGTATAACCTTAAATTTATATATATATAGTTTTTTACTTTATATAAAATAAAATTATTAGACTGTTGCTAATTTGCATTTGTAATGAAATCATATAAGTGATATTACCTGTAAATAATTTGCTAAAAATCAGATGATTTCACCTGTATAAAAATATTTAATAAATTACAAATCTTATTACGTGATTTTATTATATTATATTACTTATTTCTTAATTATTTATAATAATAAAATGACTTATATTCAAAATTTTTTTAATTGGCTATTTAATTTTAATATCTCTTTTACTATTAAAGAAAATGTTTAATTTATTTGTTTGATATCTAATAAAACAGCCTACACACTTCTTTACTATTTAAAAAATTACCACTACTAGTTTATTAGACATTAAAGCATTGTAAAGCATAGTGACTATAGTTTACAATGCCTTTCTCTTTTTTTGCCAAATTGACTTGCTTCTTCATGATCTTTATTGGTGATATTAGTAATATCTCAAATATGTTTTGCTTTCTTTTTTGAGAGTTCACTATATGATCTGTATCTATTAGGTTATCTACCTTTATGTTATACCTGTAATAGATCATTAATATGCATAGAAACTATATTTTCCTGTTGTTCAGATAATTCTGCTTTTGTATTTTCAATAAAATATTTTACTTGATTGACAAATTCATCAACTTTATCAGTTCAAATAGTTAAATCAAGAGTTTTTTTAACATATTCTATACCAAATCTATATTTTTGTTTAGAATCCTGCAATTGTATAACATTAGATATTTGTCTAAAATTTGCAAGGTGTTGAAAAGATAATTGAGGCAAGGGTTATTCTAACTCATCTAATTCTTCTTCTCTAATATTATTTACTAGTACCATATATTTCTAATGTTCAATATTATATTTGTTATTATTATACTATCATTGAGGAATAAGTGATATATGAAACTGTGCGTTAACTGAATAAAATATAATGCGAAAAAATGTCTATATACAATTTCTCTATTGATAAGCCAAAGACAAGTACATAAATGTGAACTATTATTAAGAAGAATAACATATTATAGTTCTGATTTTTGCTCACAATGTCAGTCACACTTTTCATACTTGCTAAATATTATTATGAGGTATATTTTTGACTAACGAAGAAAATAGAGATTGAGGTTAGTTATAATCATTTTTTCTAGCCATTTTTTATTGATAAGAATCGTTTACCATCTAAATTAAAGAAAAATATGATTTTTGATCATTAATGACTGAATTATCATTAATTAATATTAATTTTTCACATTTTATAATAAAACTTACTTTTAGAAGTGGTAACCAATCCTCAATTAATACTGCATCATAGTATAATAACTGGACTATTTGATCACATTGTTTTTGAAGAATTTGTGATGTTAAGTATTCTTGCAAAATTTTGTTAAGGTTTGAAAAATATTCATTTATTATAGATAGTATCTCTCTTGTTAGAATTTCATTTTTATATTCACTTAATATTGCTCTTTTTGATTATTAATCAAATATTTTTTGAACTTTTTCAACAACATCAGTTAAACTTGAAGATCTATTTAATTTATCTTTAATTATTTTATTAGTTATCTCTACTCGTTGTATACTTTGAATTCCCGCAGTAAAATTTTGGTTTATAGCATAAATTACCTAACTATTTTTATAAAAATATAAAACTCTTGTAAGATATTTTTCATAAACTGGAAATTCATTAATAATTTCAAACTTTTTATGGTATAGAAAATTACGTATTGTTAAGAATTTAGCACAAAAAGCTTCAAATTGGTCATGTAACTTTTTTTTAAATTTTTTTCTTAGATTTAAATCTATATGAAAGATACAAAGAAAATGTCGTATCTCTGAATAGTTTTTCTTATAGCTGATATTAAAGCTAGATCAGCATCAGAATATAAGGCCGTTGGTATAATATCACAAGAATTTTTTAATTCTTCTAGAATTTATGCAAAAGTTGCTTCTGTTTTATCCTTTAAAATTGCTGCTGTTACTATTAAATTTCTAAAGTTATTGTCAATTACTATTACTAATATTAATATTATATCAAATTGGTTAGTTTTTGATGTTGTATCAATAATTACAATATTATAGTATCTTTCATAGGTATTAACTTGATCAGTTAACATCTAAAATAAAGAATTTAATCTTCTTTCTTTAGAATTAAAGTGTAGCTTTATGATTCATCTTGGATTATCATCTTTTTTTAAATATAATTTGGTAAGTATTTGATATGCATCATTTTTATTAGGCTTTGCTTGTTTCTTAAATTATTAGATAGCATTACTTAAATCCTTTTTATTAATTACTTTATCTAGAAATAAAGTCACTAATAGGTTATATTGAGTTGATATGCACATATTTCCTTGAATTGTCTAAAACTTCACTTTTTTAAGCATTTTATTAGTTAACTTCTGAAATTTTAGTGTTATTTCAGTGATAAGAGGGTTCATATCATGATTATATTTACTAACTATGCTATTGATCTGAATACTACTTGCAGATTTAGAAAAGAAAGATTAATATGCCAAGAACATCCAATCATCTTAAAGTTTTTATTCCTTTTATTTTCTGCTAAAATAACCTTTTAAGCTTTATGAGTTTGTGTATGTGAGCAATCATATGTTTTATGTCTTGTAATTGTATTATTAATTGAATCTTATATACACTATTTTTTATGAAAGCAGAATCCTTGTTTCTTTGCATATTCATTAAGGTACAATTCAACAAGTTCACATGTTTCAAATTCCATTTCTTAATGTAATTTTATTTTATTCTTTTCTTCTTTCTTATGCTTATTATCATTATTTTCTTCTTGATAATCAACATTCTCATCATCTTCTTTTGCATGAACTATAGCATCTATTATTTTATTTTCTATTTGAGTTTTTTTATATATCTCAAAGAGTAAATCAGAAGAATTGGATAAGGAGTCATATAATTCAAATATTGATAGGTTAGAAGAAGAATCATATGAGAAACTATATAAGTCAAATATTGACGGGTTAGAAGAATTATATAAAGAATTATAGTAAGTATTGAACAACAGATTGGAATCACTATATAAAGTATTATAATAAGAGTTGAACAATAGATTAGAACTATTATACAAAGAACTATTGATACTTGGAACAATATTTTCTATTGTAAGTAATTTTAAAATTAATATGTGACATGTCAAAATTCAGCTAATAAATACAATTAGAAATAATACGTGATGTAATTTTAATTCTTTAGAAAAAGAAGAAAGAGAATAAGATGTGGTATTTCTAAGAAAAAATATATGTAAAGAAAGAGAATTTTAAACGAAATGGATGGTTTAGATTACATCATTTTATATCATTTATAAACAATAGGCAATAATGGTAATAATGTAATACAATCATTATAAATATTATATCATTCACATTAAAAATTTTAATTTTATTTAACGTGATATAGGTAAAATAACCTAAGTTAAAATTACCTGTATTTAAAATTTTTTAATTATAAAATTTAATATAAAATTAACCAGGTAATATTACTTGAGTTATATTACCCTAGGTTAAAAATAGTTATAATTAAATTATTATTATATTATTATTATAAAATGAAGTAAATATTAAATTTATTATTAAAAATAATTTATAAATTCAAGTTTTTTTACTTACTAATTTTCTAGTTTTTATATAATATACATTAAGATAGCTGTTTCTGAATTTTAGTTAATACATATTTTGTTAACAATTTTAAAACTTATTTTTTATAAAAATTATAAAATAATTTTATTATCTTCATAAAATTTTATGAATTTTGCATTTTTTTTTTTTTTAATTTAATATAAAATAAATATTTTTGAAAACTTTGTTAAAAATAGTATAAGTATCTATATAATTTTTTATAAAAGTATTTATAGATTTTACTTTTTTATATTATAATCATATTTATTATAAATAGTTATTAATTATAACATAATGTTTAATATTTAAGTTTTTATTCATTTACTTAAATATTTTTAATCAATTTAAATTTTTTAAAAATTTTATCATATTTATTAAATTAAAATTTTTTATTTATTTAACTTTTAATACTTTATTTAATTATATACTATATTTTTTATAAGATACTATAAATATAAATCATATTTTATTTTTAAATAATATTAGAAAATAGTAACTGTTCTAGTTTTTTAGTTTTCTAGTTTAAAGAATTTTAGATAATATAACTTATAATAAAAATTATAATTTATTAATTTATATTCAATTTTTTATTATATTTAATATTTTTAGTATTTAATTTTTATAATATATGCATGATATAATATTAATAATATAGAATTTTATTAAGTAATTAATATGCAAGATAAAATAAAATTACATTTAATATACCTAATATTTAATTATCTATTATTATGCTTATTACTATTATAATTATTATATAAGGTCTTTATAATTGAAAAGAAAAAAACAGCTGAAAAATAAAAATGAATTAATATTATATTTTAACCTAAAAACCATATTTGATATATAAAAGTAAAATTGATTTTTTGATAATTTTTCCTCTTTTTATTACAAATATTTTATATAATCTTAATTTATTAAAATATTTCTAGCAAAATTTATTATTTATTTTAAAAGTTAGTAAAAATTCAAATTAATCTTTAAATTTTTATCACATATAATTGATACTAGTAAAATAAATACTTTGATAATAAGTATTAACTTTAGTAAATATATTGAAAAATATTTTAAATCTATTGTTTTATCCCTTCAAGCGTTTTGCAGGCAAATTTGCCTGCAATTTTATTTAATAATTAAAATTATTTATAATAATTTTAA